AACACACACACACACACACACCCACACACACACACACACACGCACACACACACACACACACACACACACACAAACACACACCTTACGTCCACAGTATTTCTGAAACTGTAAAACTGATTTTTTTCCTCCTCAGATCTGTACTCCTCAACACCGCCCAATCGGCCCTCACATGCCCCATCCCTCAATTCCGTTTAATTATAATGAAAGCTGCCAAGGTCTTTACATTGGATACAATCTCTCACACAATTTTACAACTGCCATTGCTCTGTACATGTATTTTCTCTCTGATCCTGTCTTTAAAGGTGATTTTTTTTGGTTTCCAGTGAACAAATTATCATTTAAAACAATCTTTGTTTTTTTAAGCGTAGCAGATTCCAAGATTTTGGGTAAAATCTCGTAGTTTTTTTTTTGTTTTTGTTTTTTTTTTGGTGGTTTTTTTTTGGTTGAGTTTTTGTGTAATCAGATCTTGGGGATGCATCCTCTCTAAATTAAACAGTATTGGATGGAAAAACTTAATTCTAAGATTGCATAAGACTTGGGCAGTTATCGATAATTAGTTCTAGACTAGGCAAATAAATAATCTATGTTTTATAGTTATACATAAGCTTTTGCAGATACAATGGCTTTTTCAAAAATTGTAATGACCCCATCGACACATTAAGGATCATATAGAGATGGGCTGTCAGGGTCTACCTGAGATGAGAAGGTTACAATACAACATCCCAACAGAAAGACTGAGAACCACGACAGAATAATTCTCCCCAGTCGGTAATCGAAACCTGGGTCACCTGCGTGCGACCGTGAAGCGCCTTACTTACTGCTACACCATAGTGCCAGTAGAGGGGTTAGTTTAGTTTTAGTAAGCGTTTTATGGCACTTGCAACACAATAAGGTCATATTATTAGTGCCGAAGAATAGACGTGTTACATAAGAGTAACAAAAACAAAAAAAGAAGGAAGGGAGATATAGACGATAGATGTTGATTGGAAAGAAGGAGCAAACCACTCCAGAGTACCCGCCAACCATCCACGTAGAGGGTTTATTGGGACTAAACAAGGGGACTTTTTTACGCTTGGTTGGGGGGGGGGGGTATTCTTTTTTTTTACATTACTATCTTCCTTCGAAGCAGGAACCTATGGCCCAAAGATAATTAAAAAGATAGATTTATAAAGGAGGAGAGGGTTGATTGAGAGAGTAGAGAGAGAGAGAGAGAGAGAGAGAGAGAGA